GCAGATCTTGTCAGGAAAGCAAAGTCAAAGTAAACTTTATTGTCATCTCTGCTACATACAGTACAGTAGAGAGACGAGACGACGAGGCTCCAGTTCCATTCAGTGCAAAAAACAACAATATATGTAGGAAGAGTAAGACTAAATATACGTTTAGAGACTGAGGTGAGGGGAGTAAATATACACTTTGAGGTAAAACTGTTAAAGGATAAATTAGGTATTGAAATGATGTGATCTGGCATCCATCCATCCTTCTGCTTGTCCAGTTCAAGGTCATGAGTGGGCTGGACCCTATCCCAGCTGTCTCAGGTTGAGAGGCAGGACCCTGGACAGGTCGCCCATCTGGTGCAAACTTTGTGTGGATGTGCCATCCTGGAGGAGCTGTGCTACTTGTGCAGCCTGAATGGGCTGTAGGTACGGTCTCAACCTACCAGCACTAGCAAAAAGCAAAACTAGAGAAAAGTCCATCAGGACAGATTATAACAGAGAGCAATGGTGTGCGTTCACCACCTGCAAATTTATTCTCTTTTGGGGAGTGGTCTTGCTGTTGCTTCACCAGTGCACCTGTTGTCATTTTGTCCTATTGATGTTTGTATCAAAGTAGCTGAAATTGATTCACAGTGGTTTATGCTTCCACATTGAACAGACTGATACCCTTGAAGTCGAACTGACTCTCTGTTACACCGTGACTATAAGTTTTCCCTTCATTTTTTGAGCAATGTAAATAGACAAACATCTGTTTTAGTTACGGCCATCAATGTTTCTTTACTCAATCACTGAGTCTGTCTCCCAGTTGCTTGACTGGTTTTATTGGGTGTAGCTAAGTAGCATACATCAAGCTGTATGCCAAGAGTGAAAAAGACATCGATTCACTGATCCACACCACCATAAAATGCAGCAATGACATTGGAATGTCATTCGGATTGGAAGAGTAAAGTCGGATGGTAACAAAGAGAGGGAATGCAGTCAGAACTGAGGCGATCGAATTAGCAGAAGGCAACATTGCAGACATCTAGGATAGCTACAGGTACCTAGGGCAAATGGGAACCATGAAGATAGCGCTAGGAAAGCTGCAACCACCAAGCACCTGCAGACGGACAGGAGGGTCCTGAGGGGTCAACTGAATGGTGACAACAAGATCCGGGCTATCAAGACCTACGCCCTGCCCGTGATCAGGTACCCTCGCTGGGATAATGGGCTGACCAAAGGAGGAGATTAAGGCCACTGACATCAAGGTGAGGAGGCTCCTGACCATGCATGGAGGGTTTCACCCCAAGTCCAGCATCCTGAGACTGTATGCTAGGTCTGGGGAAGGTGGCCGGGACTGGTGAGTGTCAGAACCACAGTCCAGGATGAGACAGCGAACATCCACTCAGTGTGCTCAGTGAATACCTCAGGCAGCAGAAACCAGGAAGGACAGGCCCCTGCACGGTATGTACCACCAGCAGATAGAGGAGGTGGCTGATATCCAGAAGTCCTACCAGTGGCTGGACAAAGCTGGACTGAAAGATAGCACAGAGGCACTAATCATGGCAGCACAAGAACAAGCTCTGAGAACAAGATCCATAGAGGCTGGGG